TAGTGTTTTTTGCATTTATTATTTTGCTATCTTCACCACTTGACAGGACAGTATTATTACTCCTTGTAGATGATAAAACTGAGGCTCAGAAAAGGTAACTGACCCACTGTTAACACTGCTTATAATTGGGGAAAACAAAATCTTACTTTAGGTATATCTGACTCCAAAATCTGTGCCCCGTCTGTTATGATCTTCTGCTTCCCATTGACTGTGTATTATTCCTCTACTAAGAAGATGTTCCGTTCAGATTAAGGCCTTGGTCTGGAAATTTAGTGTAGTATTAGATGGACTGTAATAGAGGCACTATTTGTTCATGCATCAGTCATTTCTTGTGCACCTAGTAAATTCTGAGGGCTGTGTTTGACACTGAAATACAAAAATGAATAAGCCATGAGCCCTGCCCTATAGCAGCTCACAGTCACAGAAGGCACATTGAAAGAAACCACCAGTTATGCTCCAGTGGATAAGAGCTTTCATAGAGGTGTGGTTAGATCACAGGGGAAGGCCATCTAAGTCAGACCTGGGTGTATGCCTGAGAAGGAGGAAGTCAGTGAAGGGGTGCACAAGGAGATGATGAGTGCAGTGCATCTTAAACCATAGCAAGAATAAGCTTTCTAGGCTACGAGAAGAGCATATAATAAATCATGAAATGAAATGTAGAATTTTAGAAGAGCATTTAGGAATATGGTGAGATATAGCTAAAAAATTAAGCCAGGATCAGGTGATCTAGGAAGGCTAAGAAATCAAGCGTAAACTTTACATTGAAGGGAACAATCTGTGTGTTGATCCTAGGCAGGTAGATTACACATTGTGATTTTCATTTTAGATGGCAGCAATATCAAAGAACAATAAATCTGCAGACATAGGAACCAATCACGAAAATGTATTAAGTTAAAGATCATTAATATTTTTAAAATTCAATATATGCTTCCAAACCAGGGAGCAATTAAATGAATTTTTTTAAAAATTAGATCTATCCCTCTCAACACACACACACACACACACACACACACGCACACACACTTCCTTATTTTCTTACATTAGCAATTGTTATCTGCCTCCAAGTATTATCCACGCATATTTCTTTTTAAAATTAAATATATTTAAGTTTTTTAAAAGTTTATGACCCTTAAAGTGTCCAAAAAATTAGGATTTGGAATCATTTTTCTGAGAAACTTATGAGAAGAACACTTATATACTGGGGCAACTATGCAGAAGAACATAAACGTTCTATGAACTTTAAGTCAAAATTGCACTTGGAGAATCACCTTCCACTTCTCTAAGGAAAGGTCCCAGGAAGCACATTAGTGGGACATCCTTTTAGAAGAAAACACATATTTAAAAGATGCAAAAAGAAAGTTGTGTATGCCTGAGTAAAACTGAACGAGGCTCAAATACAAAGAGCTGAAAAGAAAACTCTTCTCCCAATTCCCCACTGTACTAAACAGGCTTCGCTAATCTCTTATTTATAAATAAGACTAATTCCTTGCACTTAACTGACACCTTCAAAAGTAGCTCTTAATTTGGCAGGAATTTCCTCGTATTTACACTAACTATAAACCACCTAACACTTGCCAGAATAATTCATTTCCATTTGAACCACCCAGGAGATTATTTGAGCTGAAAAGAATCAGTTCTGCTGGCGCAAGAAATTAGAGGACACTGCCCAGCCCGGAAGTGAAGCTGAACTCTCACATACTCATATTTCAGGAGGAAAGTGTGCGTCAGTTTCTCCATAAGTAGTTGCTGAGTGGGCCCCTAAACAAGTGGCTGGGGGCAGAACCAGGCAGAACTGTGTTCGGACAGATGGCATGGTTAGCTCACACTTTCCAGTCCTGGCAAGCCCCAGGCGGGCACCATTCTGCACCCTTTTGCTTGCTGGCTGAGGACACTCCACTTACACACAGGAGGGCGTCTGCTCGGTCACCACGAAGCGGCATCTCCCTTTGATGCAGTAATGTTTGTATTGCTTGGGGCACCTAGAGAAGTGGCCTTTCTGCTTTGATTGTGTGGTGGTAGCTGAAAAATGAGAAAAAGTTCAATAAATCAACTCTTTTTAAATATTCTCTTGTAAATAGAATCATATTCCTATCTTGCTGCCAGTTTCTCTGTAGAATATATTTGAATCTCTCATTTTTCTTTCTCTCTGCATTGGGATAGAATTCAGACTTTTGTGACTCCAAAATAGCTCTGGAGATTGGACAATGGGGATCATGGTGAGAATGTTACCTACTTTAATTAAGAATTGACTTCAACCTACCTTTCAGAAACTTTAGTGTCATTTAAAGGGTAAAACACAAGTATAAGAAGAAGAAGGCTTTCATTCCATGAACGCTATCAGAGCCATGCTAGAGAAGAGAGGTTTTTTGTTTGGTTGGTTTTGGGGTTTGGTTGTGGTTGTTTAACTTAAACACTTCCATAGTATTTCCTGGGTGCTAGATGCTGGTCTGTTTGCTTTTTGTATATTATTCATTTAATGTTCATAATAGCCTTGTGAGGTAAGCACCATTTGAATCTCCAATTTACGGATGTACAAAGCACAACACATGGAGGTTAAGTCACCTTCCAAGATCACACAGATAGAAAGTGGCAGAACTGGGACTCAAACCCAGGGAGTGTGCCACTGAGTCCACGATCTTGACTGCCACATACACTCTGGCATTTTGTTGAGCCAGCCGCTCACCAGGTGTCTGTCACTGACTCTCAGCCTGATGCATGCAGAAGTCACACCTGCCTCCGTGGGCAATTGTGTCTCTCATTTGGCCCATGAATTCTTTCTGCTGTTCTGAAGGAGGAGGAAAATACTGAAAGCTTCATACTCTGGATTTCACTCCTGAACTGACTTCCTTGCCTTACCCTTTTAGGGGTTTGATTGCCTAATTTTTCAACTGAGGGTAGTAACATGTAGCATTTCCCCATCACTGACATGTAAAATTTCAGTAAATAACAATCATCAAGAGAAACAGAACAGAAATACTAACTAGCTGTTTTGTCTGTTAATTTACAAGGGACGTATGCCCACACCCACAGAAAACAACTAACGAGCCAGCTCCAGCCCAGGGTCAAACTTTCCATGTTCATGGTATAACCAACAGCTTGCAGGATCCAGGCGCCTGTGGAGCCAGGAGGACCATAGTGTGTTCATGTCAGAAGGGCATGTCACGTTAGGTTTGGTATGGCACCTGTCATCCCAATGACATTGAATAATCATTTTATGAATAGCAATGACTACTAAACATCTTAATTAATATTATGAAAAGGGTACATATAATTGCCCCAGGCCACCAGAGAGAGGAATCTCAAAGGACTTAGGATGATCTATACACTGCAAATTCCTGTGATTCCAGGTCACAGTGCAGAGTTTCAGGGGATGGCAGAATCTCACTGAGGAACTGGCTAACCTGGTTTGATTGGTGACTTGATAACCGCCTATGCTGGCTGCTTGAACTACATGCCAGATATTTGCTTGATACATGTCAACCAATGAGACTTATCAGAAGGACTGAAATTTCTTCCAGAAATAACTACAAAATGTATCAAAGACAAAGACCTGTGTATTTTGACAAATAAATTGATGTCAGCTTCCATTTGTTGAGTGTTTCCATTTCCAGAGCTCTGTAATAGGCAGTAGAAAACATCAAAGAAATAAAGGATACCCTATCTTATTATTTAAATTGGTAGATTAGAACAAACAAAAAACAAGAATAAGCAATTAACTGGCAAGAACAACCATCATAACCAGATAATAGTTTTAGTACATTGAAAACAGTGGAAAGAACACTGGATTCAGAGAAAGAAAATTTGTGTTTAATTTTCAACTCCGCCTTTCATTAGCTGCATGAGTCTGGGCAAGCTAATTAGGCTGTCTGAACCTTTGTTTCCTCATCTGTAAGATAGACATGATAACATCTACATTGAAGGGCTGTTGAGAGACGCAATAAAAAAAGATATGTAGAAGTTCATAGCAGAATTCCTGGGACAGCAATCTCCTCAGCAAATGAGTTAATCCAAGAATCTTAAAATCTTGGCAATTCTAACAGCAATCTCATATGAGTGTGAAGAATGTTGACCTAATCAAAGAGAAATGAATGGAAAATGTAGATTTTTTAGAGGAGGTGAACAAGCAATTGATTTATGGAGAATGTCAATAGCAAAGGCACAGAGTCAAGAATATGCAGGTCTAGTGCAGGTAGTGGGAGGCACATTTCACTGAAATGGAAGGATCCTGAAGGAGAATAGCAAAGAATGGCTGTGAATGAAAGTTAGAAACCTCAGATGTCAGTAGGCTGAAGTGTTTACACTTGAAACACAAAGCAAGAGAGAGCTGAAGATGATTACTATGGATAAAATTAAATGGTATATATAAAAATACTTTAAACTGTGGAGCATTTTGTCGCCATATTATATAGGAGAGTATAGACTGGGCTCTTAGTGGGGGCAAAGAGACACATGCGATAAGAGTCTGGGCTAAGGAGATGGAGGGGAAGGAGATTAACTCAAGAGGCAGCAGACTTAATGACAGATCTTGTATGAACCAGAAAGACCTTTCCAGATTTGCAAAGCATACCTATCTTTAAATATCAAAGTCATTTGGCTATATATCCTAATCTTTACTTATTTCTCTAGTTGCTGTGTACCTTTAAATGCACCCAGGCTTTTGATAAACACCATGCAGAGTATGATACCAAAAAGCAAATTAACCAGCAGCTGCTGAATCCAGTGATTTGATCAGCCTTCGTTCATCCAAGCAGCACAAATCTATGCCAAGGAAATGTTTGCCAGGTCTTGTTTTGATCGCTCACAGAGCTCTCTCCTTTGCCAAGTAAGCATGCTCTTAAATATTCCCAACATTATTTAGATTTTAAAACATTTCCATGCCACCAGGCAGAAAATGTCCAGTGATTTCTTTATGGAACTTTAAAACCTGAAAGCAAAATAAATCACACATATTGCCACACATACACATAAATACACATACACACACACATACACATACAAACCCAGATGGGATCATCCTGTCCTTGTCAAAATGAGAAAGCTTATCAGCATTCTTTTTTTTTTTTTTTTGAACGGCACCTAAAATTTCAGTTCCTTATAATCCAGTATTCATAAAGTTCATGTTATCTAAAAATTGAACTATGGAACCCAATGTTTTCTGCCTGTCATGAGACCTGATGATATAGGGCACAGGAGGGTGAATATACCCTTCCATTCCAGAGATATTTATCAAGAAGAAGGAAAAGTTAATCCTATGACAAAAGAGGGATATGTCCTAAGTGTTGTGTTTCTCTGTTGTAAAGTGAATGACATAGTCTTGAAAATGTAGCAAGGTAGCAACCAGAAATATCCCTCTGATCCTAGAGGTGGTGGAATGCAATTGATCTTTTTTCCTCCCACATTACGCTTTTGCAACTCAAATTCCAAAAACAAAACATACCCCTGTCCCAGAGAATTTCACTGGAAAAGTACATCCACTAGTGGGTCAGGCTGCAACACAATCTCATAAGTGGATGGGCACCACAAGTAATATATATCGATCTCTTCATAAGACTCTATATTCCAAAGATGCTAAACACCAATTAAATAAGAAACGATTAGGATTACTGCAGGTCAGTGGATGTAAAAACCTAACTCTAAGGTTTGCAAAAGGAATCGGAAGCAGGGACATCTTTCTTAGATCACACAGCAATTAAACAAGAAGTAGTCATCCTCCTTGGGTCATATGGGTAGTTAGATGAGATGTACTAGATTCCCTTGGGCTAAGCCAAAGTGGAGGAATACAGTAGACACCTAAATGACTTAGTTTCCATATGGAATTTTCCTCAATTTGATGACATTTTGATTAAACATAGGATAGTTCCTTAGTCTCTATATGATTCTAGTTCTCAAGACAAAAGAGGCTTTGTGATGCCTTTGTGACTAAAACTCTGAGGAGTAGATCCATTAAGTGTATCTTTCATAAAACCTTTGCTTATTTATTCTAACAGTGTTCATTCAAATGTATTTAATAATTTTGTAGATGACATTAATATCAGCAACTGTATTCTGAAGTCAACTCAAAGGTCAATCAGTACTACAACTGTTATTACAGTGCTTTTTCGTAATACCTATTATAATGGTTATAGCCTTATAGTGTCTCTAGCTCCGTTGTTAGATGCATAGTTAAATCTGTATGTACAAATGTAAAGGGAAAGGCTAAACTTTGAAATAGATGTCTCACAGGTGTTAACAAGGAGACTGAGGAAGAAAAACAACTATAAATTCATACTCCCACACAGATAGGAAGTAGAGCCTAGGGCTTTATTATTTTACTCCTTGGCTTCCAGGCATCTTCCCAATAGGGATTTCCTCCTTTTACAAACCTCTTAGGCCAAAATGTGAAGAAGAAAGTTTTATATATTTAAAGTTAATTTTCTTTTTTGTCTTGCCAGCTATCTCTGGTCAGGGAAATGTAAATTCACAGTGTCCTTGAAGAAATACAAACTTTGAAAATTTATTTTAATTGAGGATTCCCATTTGTCTTACATCCAATGACATTTCCTCCAGAAAAGTGAAAGGGGACATTACATCTCACAGAGGTACATGTTAACTTTTTTTGAGCTACTAGAATTTGCTTATATAGGAGTTCAGTGGTGCGATATGGACAGAATAGCATGTCTTTTAACTAAGAAGGCCCTGGCAACCATTTCTGAGCTTATAGGAATGGGCCTTCACCCAGAGCTGCCCTTTTTCATTTAATCCCTTTGGTGGAAAAAAAAAGAATCAATGTTGAAGCATGGGTATCTTTGCATATGTTTAAAAATATTCATGGCTAGAGGCAAATAAAGATGAAGGGACAGGAAGAAAACTTATCTTTCCCTTGTTTTTCAAGAATGCATGCTATAGAATTCTTGTGTGCATGATGAATCCTTTGCTCATTCTTCTTTACAGGTTCCTCCTCGCCTCCCTCAACCTCTAAAATTTTGCAGATACAGCAGGGCTGGATACTCTTTCATCTCTTCTCCTTCCTGGGTAAGCTC